GGTTTAGGTTTTCTATGTTAGACTAGTCTTCTTGCTCATCATGTAGTTTTTTTTCTTTTTTGTTTTTCCTACCCATTGTTCTTGATCAATTATTTTTTCTTTTTTTTGTATTACTCGTTTTCTTAGTTTTTAGTTCTTTTTTTGTTTTACTCCCCTCTCCTTATCTTACCCTTAATAAATTTTTTACGATTTAAAGGAATTTGAAAGAGAGAGAAAGCCATTATGATGTGGCAATTAGGCTAGTTTAACATAAGCCTTCTAATTATAAATTTTTAGATTAGTGCGGTAGGTTGCACTTGGGTGTCTATAAAATAGTCAGATCTTTAAAGAAAGCCGGGTGATATCAGACTTGCAAATTAGGAGCAAACAAATATATTTTAGATGTATTTTGAATCTTAATAAAGTACTAGCAAAGCTGCCTAAGAGTCAAAAAAAAAAAAAAAAAAAATTTTTTTTTTATCTTGTTTTCAACTATTTCAAAAACCATGATAAATAAACTTGTTTAAAATATAAAAATATATTTATTTTATTTAATTTGCAAACTTTAAACCAAACTTATAAATAAGTTTAAATCTTTTATATTGCCTACCTATTCTATAAAATATTCAAAATAAATTTGAATTTAATTTAAATTCAAAATTAATAAAATTTTAAAGCTTGATTTGATTTGACTTTGAGGTTTAATTAAATTTAAATTTAGATTAAATCAAATCAAATCTAAAAATTTTAACCCCAATATAAAAAATTTATACTAAAAATTTTATATAAAAAAATATAAAAATATATAAAAACATATATGAGAACCTCTACAGCAAAAGGCAACAATAGGCCAAAAAAATTTTTTTCTTAAAAATACAATTTTTGAAGAATTAGAGTAATCAGCATATAATTTTTACAAAATTACAAAATAAAAATTTTTGGCCTATTGCCACCTTTTGCTGTAGAGGTCTCTATATGAGAACTCTCACAGCAAAAGAAGGCAGTAGGCAAAAAAAAAAAAAAATTTTTAAATTCAATTTCTTGAAGAATTAAAATATTAGAAATACAATTTTTATAAAATTACAAAATCAAAATTTTTTGCCTTTTGCTATAGAGGTTCCTATATGCAAAACTACTATATAATAAATATAAACCAATTGTTTTTGGTTTTGTTATTATAAATAACTTATTTTTAAATATTTATAACTATATAATATTTTTTAAACTATTGCTAACTTCCCCCCCCCCTGATTAAATTATCTAGGGCGCTATAATTCAAAAACGAACTAAGTAATTAAAGTTAGAGGCTTTAAATAAAAATATTTAAAACTTCCAAAATTCTTACATGTAAAAAAATTTGGAACTTTATAGATATTAAATTTTAATTGTACTCTAATCCTAAAAAAAATCGAGGCAGTCTTGGCTACAAAATATTGTAGTTAAAAACTATTTTTATTATATACTAAAAAATACACTTATAATATTACTGTATATGCTACTAAAATTACTATTTATTATATTTGTACTGTATTCTTTTTTTTGATTTTTTGAATATTAAAAATATATTTTAATAAGAATTAAAAAAACAGTATATATATATATTAAGTATTAAAACTTTTTTTCTTTTTTTGACTTCGTGATACAAACCTTTACAGAAAGAACAAACAGTATTAGTAAAAATTTAACATCATTTATCAAGAAATTTGATTCAATATTTCTACTTTCACACGTCTTTATGACTAAAGGAACAGTTTTGCTTCTGAAAGATAAAGCTTCACTTGAGCAAGACAAAACTGACCAAAGTACAACTTATGACATAAGTGATAGTAAACAAATTCCAGACGAGTACGAAACCAAATTAGCGTCGCTTTCATATACCAGTATATTCTTACCAGTATTATCACCCGTTTTTGTAAATATAGAAGAATTATCAAAAATATTAAAAAATGGGCCCGAAAAAAAGTATTGGGGAATTGTAGTGACTAGTCAAAAAGCCGTTAAAGGGCTAAAGCTTGCTTGGAACGACGCATTCAACGATGTAACAGAAGGTAATAAGTCATTTATTATAAACCAATTTTTAAAAATTGGCGAATTAAATAATTAAATATTTTATCGTTGACCTAATAACCATAATAAAAGTAGATTCTTTAAGCAAAGAAAAAGCATCCTGGAAAAATTTACCATTTTTTGTGGTAGGAAAAGCAACATCAAAAGTAGCAGATGACTTGAAATTCAATACATTGGGACTAAATTCTGGCAATGCGGAATCTCTTGCAGAATACATTATTCAATTTCATAGTCAGCATAATACACAGAATTTTCATCAAAACGAATTACCCCTCTTATTTCTAACGGGTGATAAACGTCTCGATAAACTTCCAACACGATTATCACAAGCTGGAATAAAACTGGAAGAATTATTAGTCTATGAAACAAAACCTGATGAAAACTTTTCCATAGAATTGGAGAATATTGTCAAAAAAGATAAACAAATTGATTGGATTGTATTCTTTAGTCCAAGTGGTGTAGATGTTGCATTGAAAAATTTAATGAAATTGGATTTATGGAAAACCGTAAAGATTGCAAGTATTGGAAAAACTACAGGAAGTTATCTTGAGAAATGTGGTATAAAGGCTCATGTAATATCGCCAAAACCAGAATCCGAAAGCTTGGCATGTAGCATCAAC